GAGAGAGGAGGCACACAACACACTCGTAGGCCACAAGCCTTCCCTTCCCCATCCGCGTCGTTAAGTCCCGCGACTTTACTGGTCGTTTGGTAGTCGTGTTCGTGCTTGGTGGTTGTGTTGTGTAGCTGTGTGCTGATACATTAGTGTGGCAAGGGCCGACCAAGTGGAGAAAAGACGAAGTGTAGAACTTACCAGGAATGTGGAATGACGTAAAAGTTAAGACGCAAACTTTAAATTGCAAGTGATTCTCCTCGCTGAACAAACGAACAATAATGAAGCAGCACAACGTTATGCAATATTGAAGCAAATGTACGGCGTTGGAGAGGTATGAAGGAACGCCTGAAATCTTGTAATTCCACAAGGAAATGTTTCCGTGGATCACAAGTGGGGCACCATACCGAAATCGACGATAAAGTTGCTGAATTCGAATTAGAAGTAGCAACAAGGAGAAAAATTTCCAGTCAGGAATTCAATGCGAGTATCGGCTGATGCATACGGTTTATGAGAAGGAAAGGGTTCAGTTTGCGTAGAACTTCCCTATCGGAAAAGCTGCAGATTATGAAGAAAAACTTTTGGAGTACCAAAAGTACAATATACAATTGAGCCATCAACACAGCCATTTGTCAAGTCAAATGGAGAATGCCGATAAGAACCCTGTGTACTTCGACATGCCTTCAAACAACAGTCTAAAAACATCTGGAAACGAAAAAATGCAAAAATGTTACGGTCATGCTGAGAGTGTTTGGCAGATGGCAGGAAGCTACCTCCATTTGTTATCTTGATAAGGAAGAATTTGCCCAAAGAGAAACTACCAAGTTGAATAATTTTTAATGCAATGAATCTAGGTGGATGACTGAAAGCTTAATGATTTCTTCGCTTCCAGACGTTACCCTATTACAGCAGAAAGGATTGTTAACCCTTGATGCCTTTCGGGCCACCTTACAGAAGAAGTGGAAAAGACAGTTACTAGTTTAAAAACAGATTTAGTAGTGATGCCAGGAGTCATGACCTCACAGTTGCAATACTTGATGTAACTCTGAACAAATCTTTTAAGCACCAACTCAGACACCAATATGAAGAGTGGTTGTTATCAGGGAACAGCCCATTAACTCTTGCCATCAAAAACCTTCAGTTGGAAAGCATGGTCAGTGAATTCTTACTCCATGGAATACTACGTCAACTCAATGCATAATAAAAGGTTGCAATAAGTGCTGTGTAAGCAACAGTCAGGATGGCACAGAAGGTAATGTGTTATGGACATGAGTTGAGTGATGATGAAACAAGTGAAGATAATGATTGAGAGATAATTAAATGATGAATGTGGATGTGGTAAAATTGAAGAATAATTCATGTACTGTATAAAATATTGATATGCACAAAATAATTTATGCTTAATGTTAATAAACATGTAAGTAAAATAGATACATACCTTTTTATTATTTTTTTTATTTCATTACCTAGTAGGAAACTGATATCAAGTTATAAACACAAGGGTCATCTTATATTGAGGTGTATTATTTGAATTCAAAGGTGATTTTCTGAATTTCAAGGTGTGAAAACATGACTTGTCTTATATGTCTGGTAAATACAGCAAATGTTACTCTCACCTTAACATTTTTGTTTCGTACTCCAGTCCCTAAAACTAGAGACTGCAGCCTCTAGCAGTGTGATCTTAAATCAGTTTGTGATGTACTTCTTCCAGAAAAACTTGCTTTAAAGCCATTTTGTCATTTCCATGGTGATTATCCAAGAAATAGTGAGTAATGAGTTTTATAGACAAACAGTGCGGGAACTTTTAAGTGTAAAAATATGCACTTTAAATTTCAAAATGGGAGGAAAATACCACACACGAACAGGAGATTACTTATTGCTATTCTTGCAAAAAACATATTTATGGTGAACATCAAAAAAAGTCTGTCCAACTCTTTCTTAACATGATTTTTCAAAATTTGATTTTTTTGTAGTCCTTAAAGTTTCTGTTTAATGTTATTTACACAAATACATGTTTCGATACTTAAATACAGCATAAATGATTTTTGAATTTTATTTTACATGACAATATTTCGTGCTAATATACTTCACCAAGAATTTTTAAATTTTAACAGCAAAATAAAAAGTGAGTTGTTTTCTTTGAGTTAAAAGAACTTTTTTACCTCCATGGAGAGAAAAAAAACAGTTGCAGTATAGCAGATCCACAATATTGTAACAAGGGAACTTGTTACAGTATCATGGATCTGGAATTCTGCAGCTGTTCTTTTTTTCCTGTGTAACCATCTCAATCTTGGCTGGCATTAATCACTATTGAGTTGAAATCCAACAATGTTACACAATTGACTTAACAGAAGAATAGTTCCCATGGGTACCAAAAGATACAAATACAGATGAAAATTGGTAATTCTTGTAGTAAAACACTTACACACACACACAATTTAACATTTATAATTTTCTCTCTGAATATTCCTTTAGGCAGAAGACTTGCA